TGTGGCCCTGGTTATAGAAGCACAGATGCATAATCTTATAGAAGTATAAACTAACTTGATTGTGCGATGTAGTTTTGGAGACAATACAGATTTCACGTCGCATTTTTTGCAAAAAAAAAAAAGCAAAAAAACAAAAAAAACAAATATTTTTGCAGTTCTTAATTTTATGTTTATATATTGTTTCAATTCCACAAAAATAAATGAGCGATAGAAAAAGTTCAGTTGTGCGTAAATATACAATCATAAACAACTTGATTACAATTACATACTTAAAATAGCTTTGAATTTGGAATTAATGTCTGAAACAACAAATGACGGTATTTTGTAAGATTGATTTGTTGCAGAACTGATTGGATATGGAATGGCTGCAATAACATACGGCTCAAGTACCCAAAAAGTGTCCTTGGTGCTCGGCCAGTAAAATGAATGAGCCATACCATGAGAATGCTTAACATCAATTAAAACATCTTCCTCTTTTTCTGAAAGTTCACAAAATTTTCCAATCCACCAATGTGCATTGTAAAAACATGCAACTAAATTTCCAGGAATAAGATCAGACAACTAATTTGAAAACTAATTTGGTTAAGTTGTTGTTGTAATTTTCATTAACGTTAGCAATAAAAGGTGTATTGTTATTTGAAATACGACTGGTACAAACCTGATTTTTATTTACAGGTACAAATTTGTGATTGTCGCGAGTACCTGCAACTGTGTTTCCAGAACTAAATCGTTTTTCTTAATTTCCTTTTACACTGCTAAACTACTTCTGCTTTACTACTTCTGTCTCTACTTCTTACTACTGTACTACTTCATCACTGGCACCATAAATAAATGAAATACCCGTGACACTTTCCTTGCAAAAATCATATAAAATTAAGGGCATTAAAATTTGATTATGAATTAGCCATTGAAGACTGGCACGTGCTGCTAAACGGTTCACAGTTCCTCAAATTCCGTCACAGAGAAATTTTCCATGACTAATTGCAAAGTAATTCCACTCTGCTTTAATGCCGTGGTCAGTGTAATGGTAACATAAATTTATAAAATTTTTAAAGTTTTTGAACCGTCACTGAAATAATGAGTAAGTTCAAAACACAAATAAGTTTTAAGTTTAGCTATTAATTTACCAAGAAATGCATGAACAGAAATAGTATCATTTCAATTCAACTCATTTTTCAATAATAGCAAATAGTTGTTTTGGCTTTTGGAAATAAAACGATGCTTAGATAAAACAGATACTTTTGAAATTAATTTATTTAAGAAGTTATTTACCGGTAATTGTTAAGATTCTAAAGTTTCACGATCTACTTTTAAGCAGATTCAAAGCCTTTAAACTGCTCTTCAAGATAGGCTTGTAAAATTTCAATCTTTCAACATTTATGGCAACAATGAAGCATACATTCTATAGATTCAATGTCACAAACTATATTTTCAATCAATCGTTTAAAGTCTAGCGTAACTGGGTTACTTGTAAGCATTAATTTTATATTCTGGTGAATAGTACATACAGAAAATGAGTAACTGAGGGCTTTTTTTTTTAATTTGTTATTTAGGTGCCCCAAGAAGATATATTAGTCTTGTCACAGAGCACCGCGGAAGTACGTTTAACCAGGAAGTTCACGCCTCCTTCCTTAGCGTGACGCAAAAATCTAACATTTATATACCAATATGTACATAACTCAGAGAATTTAGAAAATCCAATTTCAGCTCCATTTTCTATTTTATATAACCTGGCAAGTGTTTTAATTAAACTCAGCTTATACTCAAATTACTTAATTATAAATGTAGTGTTATATTTTTTGCAAAATGTTTTACTTCAATAATGTTAAGTGACACAATTTAAATTGGGTTACAACTGATTTTTTGAATTTTAGGTGATTGCTCTTGCCACCAAAGGTGGCCAAACACTTGGAGAAATAATAAAAAGGGTCATTATAGCACTATTTACTAACAACCTAAAAAAAGAAATTAATTGGGCAGGAACAGTTAGACAGACCGGAGATAATTAGCGCCGCAATGTAAGTATTTTTTGTGAGTAATGTAGACTTAAATGACCTAAAATATTTATTAATAAAATATTTTTTTTAGTCTACGTTTTAGAATTATGCAAAGAATTTTTTTTTTTACTTAACAAAAGTGTAGAAGTATGTGAAGAAGGACTTGGACCTACCGTGACTTGAGCGTGAGCACGTTTTTATATGTAGAGTTTTGAAATTTGTATAATGGCGTTAGCATGGGTTATGTTTTATATTATTGATATATTTGTTCTTCTTGATTTTTTTATTTATAAAAATCGCAATGATTCTGTATTCAGTTATTAATTCCTAGTACTCAAAACTTTAAAAAGAAATTAATCAAAAGTAAATATTTATTAAGTTCGATCACTAATTTGTGTAACAGCAATGTTAGTTTACTTAAAATCACGTGATTAAAATTTAATGGTTATATTTTAATTTTGAAAGAATTTCAGGAACAGTTTTGAGCAACTATTGGCAATATTAACTCTTTGGGTAAAACTGATTAAATTGTATACACTTCCCATTAGCAATGTTTTTACTTATCTAAAAACATTGCTAAAGGGAAGTGTATACAATTTAATTTCTAGGTTAAATTTGACAATAAGTAAATATGAAAGAGTTATAACCTTTTTAACTGAGCAATTTGGAAATACACAAGTATTTATTTCAACTGATATGGACAATATACTTGAATTACCTAAGGTTAAATCAAAAGATGATATTGTTTTGTATCGTATGGTCTTTAATAAACATAAAACCAGTGTTAGAAACTTAAATGATCTTGGAATAGAGACTGCCACCTATGGATCAATGCTTGCAAATATTTTATTTAATTGAAATCCAACAGAATTAGTAACTATTTTATCAAAAAAATTCCAACATGAAAATTGAAACTTAATTGAACATAATATAGTTTTTAATGAAATTGTGCTCGTGAACGTTGTTTAGCAGTTCGTATAATACCAGAAAGAAACAAAGTTGATTTTTCAAAATGAATTCAATGCTAAAACACTAAATGTATGTACAAAGAAATACTTGGTTTGCAATTTTTGTCATAAAAACATTTTAATAGCATTGTTTAAATGTTACGGATAGTGAAAAGAGGAAAAATTTGCTAAGAAAACATGGACGTTGCTCTGTTTTTATGGAAAAAGAGCACATTTTCAAAAATTGTAATGTGTCATATAAATATTTTAAATATAATGGAAACAGAGTCGTCCTGAAAAGGTTCCCCCACCACCACAATTTAGGACGGCCTTGAATGGAAAACATAATGTAAGCATTTTTAACAGCTCCAGTTAAGAAAAAAGAAATTAACGATGTCTTAACCAATTTAGGCCAAATAAAACTGTTACAAATTATGTTAGTTATTTACAAAATAAAATATTGCTACAAACTTCTATTTAAGAACTTCAATGCAAAAAACGAAGCGTATTTAAAATTATTATTTGACTGTTGTAGTTTACGAAGTTATTTTACTGAAGCCTTTAGTACAAAACTAAATTTAAAAATTTTACAACCAGGAAAAGTATTAATAAAACGATTTGTTTCAGATTAAGGAGTTTTTAAAGCATTAGGTGTAGTACATGTTTGTGAGCGTGGAAAAACTAATGCTGTTAATATTTTTGTTGAAGTTCATTGTTTACCTTTCCTATGTTCCCCGTTACAAAGTCAAGATTTGAAATTGACATTAAAAACTCATTTATACTTTAAAAATATATTGTTAACATAAATTAATTTAGTAGGAAACAATCTTGAAATTGACATTATATTTGGAAATCATGAAAGTGTTATAAATTTGAAACGTGATATATAATATTTCGTTCCTTTGGAACTTCAAAACTGCAAAGGCAAAAAACTGCAAAGTTGAAGATAAAGCTCGTCAACCAGTTAATTAGAGATAGTGATCTCTAAGGTGGGAAGTGTAGAAACTATGTAAAGAAGGACTTGGATCTAGCATGACATAGCGCGCGAGCACATTTTTATATGAGGATTTTATACAAAAATGTTGTTAACTTGAGTTGTTTTTTATATGACGTTATAATTGTTTATATTAACTTTTGTATTTCTTAAAATCCATAATAAAGATTTTTGAGGTAAAAAAAAGTTCAAAAGCAGTATTTATCAATTCTGTCATACGTATTGCATATGGTGTAAATCCTATTTTTTTACATGATAAATTTCATTTTGTGATGCAAATTAGTTAGAACTGTTTAGTCTTTGTTTTTTTGTTTGCCATATTTTTTATACATATTATTTTTTTTATACATACATATTACTTTTTGGGCACTTATAAAAATTTGTTATATAGCAAACTTCGACTTTAGTTTATACTACTACATTAGTTTTACCTAGATTTATTTCCTCAGCTATATCATTATGTTACTTCAACCTCTTTCTCTTTATTATCACCAGATATTAACTCTACTTCACTTAATTGATCTTTATTAAGTGATGCAAACAATAGTTATTGTTTGCATCGCTTGTTCAGCAGTGTATCTATAGCCTGTTCAGCAGTGTATCTAATACAAGCTCTTTTTTTTAGCCATAAATTCTAATATTTGTTATGAAATCTAAATTTATCTAACTTATTTGAAAATATCAAAAAAAAAGATTGAATAAGTTTCAACTAAAAAAAATAAAAACAGTTTTTAAAAGCATTAGTTTTGAAAAACTATAAATTTTATAAGAAAAAATATTTTGGTGTCCATATGGACCCCAACATCATAGACGTATATTTTAAAAATAACTAAAAAAGGAAGCAATGTCCAAAAACAAATTTTTGAGTCTTTGTACATCTTGTTATATTTAACAGATAGATGAAATTTTAGAAAAAAATGCTGACTACATAAACATATAATGCAAAAACAATCTACTCGTGGTGTCTGTTTGGACCCCAACGTAATAGTAGGGTTAAATCTATAGTAACTGAAGTATTACATATCATATTATTTTCTTTTTATTTAAAGTCAGAGTTGTTACCTGATTTTAATTTCTTCTGAGCATGACAAACAAAGTCGATGACCACAATCTGTTTGAATAGGTTCACGAAATGCCATTCTACATACTGGGCATTCAAAATTGACTGAAAGTGTATCTAAAAAATGCACATCGTAACCACCATATTTCTTGGTATTTAAAAGTTCCATTTAATATTTCTTTTCTAAATTTTCGTTAGTCGCACAAATTGTTCTTTCGTAACAAACTGTCTGTTTTACACTATTTTCTTTTAAAATATTTAAACAAAAAATAAAAACTCAAAATTACATTTGCTTTCAAAATTTGAAAAAAAAATACTTTGTAAATTAAACAATCATGAAACATCATTTAGACATTGAGTTTCGACACAAAAGTATAAACATATTTTCTTTTGCAATTTAAAAAGTAAATAAAAGGATTAGGATTTTAAGTAACCAATAAAAAACTTTTAGTTTTTGACATCAAAAGTAAATTTTTGGATTTTTGTTTTCTGTTATAAGCTAAGAATTATAAATATTGTTTTTTATAAAGAGTTATATATATATATATATATATATATATAACTCTTTTTATTTAAAGTCAGAGTTGTTACCTGATTTTAATTTCTTTAATTATATATATATATATATATATATATATATATATATATATATATATAATATATATATATATATATATATATATATATATATATATATATATATATATATATATATATATATATATATATATATATATATATATATATATATATATATATATATATACAAAAATGAAATTTTACATTAACAAAGGTTGTCAATGAATAAAACATGCATTAAGGAAAAAAAGTATTCAATTGAAACAATTGTGTGAGCATTTGATTATTTTCGCCTTTCACAATCAACCTGCAGTCGCATCAGAGAGGATTTTGAACTTCCAATTTTACGCACTTTAGGAAGAGTTACATCTTAATGTATGTCTTTAGATGATACCACTTATATCGAACATATTTTTTCTAACCTTAAAGATGAAAGACAAAAAAGATGCATTTTACTTCTTGATGAGATTTATGTTAAATCCATGTTACAATACCATGGTGGCATAGTATTTGAAAAATTACTTAACAAACCTCATCTACTAGCAAACACAGTACTGAGCTTTTTGGTTGTAACGTTGTTTAATGGACCAAAGTTTCTTTACAAAATGATACCAGTCAGAGAACTTGGTGCTGAAGTTATTTTCGAACAGACAACACTGATTCTTGATGCAATTAAAAATAATGGAGGCAATGTTGTTGCTATTGCCTGTGATGATAAAAGATGGTAACTGATTTTGTTAAACTTCTGAAAAAAAAAAGCATGGTGTTCTAAAGATAATAAATTTTTTTTATTTGATTATGTACATTTATTTAAAAGTATACGTAATAACTGGATAACAGAAAAAACACAAGAGCTTGAATTTTATATTGATGGAGAAAAAAAAAACACGGTGAGTTGATATTATTAATTTGTACAAGTTTGAATCAAAGAATATTGCTAAAATGTCTAAATTAACAGAAGTCTCTGTTTATCCAAAGCCAATTAAAGGACAAAAGGTTTTCACTTGTTTGCAAGTGTTTTGTGATGAAACATTAGCAGCATTAAAAAGTCATCCAGACCTGCATTAAAATGAAGTAACAATTATATTTATCTCTAAAGTCATTGAGTTTTGGAAAATTTGTAACGTTCACAGTCCATATGCAGACATCTTTTTGAAAGATTCTAATAGATCTGCCATTTTTTCTGCTGATGATAAAAGTTTAGGCAAACTTTCTGCAATTGGTGATTTTGCATTACAAATGAAAAAAATAGAGAAAGGAAAAAGAATCAAGTTACTAAGTAAAGATACTGCTAATTGTTTAGCTCAGACCTGTTATGGCTTGGTTCAGCTGTCAAAATATCTTCTAGACAGAACTCATCAGTATGTGTTATTAGGTAACTTTACGACAGATCCATTAGAAAAGCTCTTTGGAAAATTACGACAAGGCTCAGGAGTAACTTATTTTATTTCTGTTCAACAAGTTTTTGAAAAAGTAACTATATATTGTACAAAGTTGCTGTTAAAGTCTGAGAGTAGTTCAGATGTGTTAATCAACCTTGGTTCAGGTCACTCTTGTCCAAAATGTAAATTTTTACCAAGCGAGGGTATTTGCAACATTATTGACAATTTGCCTGCTCTCAGCAATTCATTGGCTGTCGATATTAACATGTCATTAGTATATATTGCTGGGTACATTATTCGTAAAGATGAAAATCCAAATGACACCTTTTATTTCTATGAAGCATATGGAAATTTTGTAAATAATATAAATTGAGGAAGTTCAACTAGTCCTGGTGACAAAGTCTACCAATGGGCAATTTACTGTTACATTCTTTTTTAGGAAGTATGAAATGACACTTGTCGTTCATCACTATGTAACCTCCTTATGATGGTATCAGAATACTACTCATTAGGTATAGAAAGACATCATGGATTAACAATGAAAAACACTTTGTTAAATAATTATTGTAGACTCTATTCACCTCGTTCACTTAAGGAGCCAAAACAGAAGCTGATAAAACTTAGCATAAATTAGATGTTTGCAATGTTTTAAACAAAAACTTGTGTTTTGTATAATATCTTTATAAACTTGTATTTACCTTTTATTCTACAAATTTTTTTTTTTATGGATATTTCTTTTGTCTCTCAAATTTCTTATATAAAACCCACTAAAAAATTTTGTGGTTAAAGCTGGAAAAAACATAAGCAAATTATAAATTTTACTTTACTTACTAAGTCGTTGCAACGCAATTTAGTTTTAGATATACTTAGTAATAAATAAAGTTAAAATAAGTATAATATCAAATTATTTTTTTTTTACTTTTTATAAGTTACTTTTAATAGGTATACACAAAAACAATATTCAGGCGAATATCACTTAAGCTGAAAATGTAAATTGTTACAAAATAATATTTTTAAACTTACCTCCAGTTTTTTACGCAATCAGCGCGTTGGCAAGGCCTGTTATTTAGTAAGCCATGGGCAAAACGCTCTCACTTTCGGCATAACGCTTTCGCAAGCGGGTCAATAATTTCCGCAAATATTCAAACGTCGGATTAGATTTTTGATTCTATCACCTACCCTAAAGAAATGTGGAAAATAATACTATTGATGATATTACGGTAGCGAATAAAAACCCCTAATTCATTAGCTTTTATTTAACAAGACATTTTTCAAAATCGGACATGTTAAAACTAGGCAGTGTCTACGCGTCCGGCGACCGGACGTATATCTTCTGCACTATTTATCCGGCAATGTATCACGTGACAAAACGGACTCATAGTAACGGATATATTCGTCCGGCGAGCGTACCGCGTGACCATCCGGACATATAGTGATAGGAATATACATCCGGCGAGTGTTTCCGTCAAGTTAAGTGAAGCTACAGTTGTCCGGATTACAAACATGACATCTATTTTCTGGCGGATATAACACTGCAGATACTGATATGATTCCTAAAAACAATCTTCTGCATATAAAGCGAAAAATATAAAGAATTGATGGAAAAGCAAATCAATTTTAAATCTCAAAAGAATTTGCTTTTTTTTTATTTATTGATTGCGTAAAGACTCATTACACAACATAACTTAAAGTTTAATTGAATAACTTGAGAGAAATTTTGTCTCAGTAACAAAATTATTTAATCTATTAAAATATATTAATCCTACATTTAAGTAGACATTGTCTGCAAATTAAATAACGATATGCCCTTTTGTAAACTGCATTTACTTTAAAATGCGGCACAAAACGAGAAAGGCGTGTTTTTTTTGAGAATAACAATTTTACAATAAAAGTGGAAATAAATATTAAAAATATAGAAAAAATTATCGCAAGCAAACTAGAAGAAGAAAAAAGAAGTATACTAGCAGAAACGGAGAGACTACTCAAAGATCATGAAAAAAACTTCACTTCAATAATAAGCTCGAACTTCAAAATAATAACAGCAAGATTAGACAAAATGGACGCAGAAATAAACAACAACAAATTAAATATACAAAAAAAATTAAAACAAAATATGAAAATGAAATTATGATGCTAAAAATGAAATCTATTGACTTAGAGAATTGCTCCAGACGAAACAACTTACCTATCGCAGGTGTAAAAGAAACCCATGAAGAAAACTGGAGTGATTGTGAGAAGGTTGTAAAAGATATTTTTAAAACAAAACTAAATATATTAGGTGAAGTAGTTGTGGAACGAGCGCACAGAGTCGGAACTGTTAAAGATAGAAAAACACAGAGATCGATTGTTTTAAAGCTATTAAATTATCAGGATAAAAGTAAAATATTAATCTCAGTAAATAAAGTTAAAGGATCAGGCATATATATCAACGAAGATTATGCAAAAGAAACGATGCTAGAAAGGAAGAAGCTTTGGGAAGAAGTTAAAAGGTTACGCAACGAAGGTAAATTTGCAGTTATAAAGTTTGATAAAATTTATTGTCGAGATTTTAGAAAGAAAACACGGGAAGTTTTATAAGGCGAAACGCTATTTTAACTATCTCTTTAATAATACTGAACTTAATAGTAATGCGCTTTCGAGCCTGTTTGACACGATACTCTTGGCAACCATTGCGTCCGAGGTAGTGACGAGAAAGAGTCTCACGTTTGCTTTATAAGAAAACGTGAGTAAACGTGAAACTTATATCCTTCGTACCTAGACTTCATGTTATGTAATATTAAAACATGCTTAAACATATATCAAATTCTACAGTTTGATTTTCACTTAAGAACTCCATTTCGTCAACCTCAGCTTGATTTCTAATCTTTTGCATTTATATCCGTTATAAACAATTTTTATATAATTTTGAATCTTTAATATATGACGTATTAGCTTAGTCGAGTGGTTAGCGCGCTGGGCTTCAGAACATAACTGCCGTGGTTCGAGTCCTACCGTTGGCGACTATTGTTTTAATTTTTTTTTTGATTTTTTTTAAATCAAATTCAAATACTTATAAAGTTTTATAGATATTTTATATAGGTTCATGTTATGTAATGTTAAAACATGCTTAAACATATATCAAGTTCTACACTTTGATTTTCACTTAAGTACTGCATTTCGTCAACCTCAGCTTGATTTTTAATCTTTTGCATCTATATTCGTTAAAAACAATTTTTATATAAATTTGAATCTTTATAACGAGAGAAAAAAAATCGTTTACAAATTTCAAAATTTTGTTTTTTCGTGAAGACTTTTAACACTTAGTTTCCAACTTTCTTGACATATTCTAATTTTTGAGAAAAAACTTTGTTGATCAAATATACAAAAACAGAAATTCAGTTTTTTTGTATATGATAAATATCGCTGTGGTACAAAGTGCCAACCTAGGTTTTTTAAACAAAATGCCAATCGAGTTTTACTTCCACGTGATTTTAATCACCACGAGGCTTAGTTAAATGCTTAGGTAAATACTTAAAAAAAAGATAAAATTTAAGGCTGAAAAAAAGAATTTTTTACAAATTTTTTCTTACATCTCTTTGATCATTGACTTTAGGATTTAGATTTATTACATTGATAGTAACATCATCATATTATTATTTTTAAATTATTACATTGTTAGATATTTTTTTTAGATTTATAAATTTGAAAATAAAAATAAAATCAAGTCAGGTAGCATTTGTTTTTTTATTTTTTCTTTAGTTAATTTTTTTTTAAATTGCTTGTTGACCTCTTTTTAAATTTTTAGAAGCTTTAGATGATGATTTAATGTTTAGTAAGTCGCTATTATTTTATTTGTTCAGTAATTCAATTTTAGTCGTCTTTATTTATTCATTAAGTCGCCAAATTTGTTTTTATTTATTTGTTAAGTTTTTTCGTTTATTTGCTTTCCATATACTTTTAGTTAAACCACATTTTTTAAGTTGTCTGTATTTTTTTTTATTTTTAATACTGAACATATTTTTATTTAGCGGTGCAACCACAACCTGGTAAGAATTTTTCTATATTTTTTAATAGCCCCCTAAACCTACAAAAAACCTATTTTGTATTTGTTGTGCCATTGATACCATTTTTTTCTCTTTTACTTAATTGTTTAATCTGTTTTTTTTTTAAGCAGATGCTCAACAACAACCACATTCTGGTAAGAAAGAAACCTTTTATTACAGTTTATTTATATCTTTTTTTAAAAATTTTCTAATATTTTGTCGTTTTCTTTTCTTTACTAATGCATTTTTTTAAATCTGTATTTATATTTTTTCTAGAACCGCAACAACAACTACAATCAGGTAAAAAAAAATTTTCAATGTATTTAAAGTCTCTTTTTAAAAAAATTTTAAAAAAGATTTCTATTAAAAAAAAAAAATTATGCGTGTTTATTTTTAACACTACACATTTTTTATTTTGTAGTGCAACAACAACCTGGTAAGAAATTAATTTTATACGTTTTTCAATAATCTTTTTTTTATAAAAAACCTATTTTCATTTGTTGTGCTGTTGATATCAAATTGTTTTTCTAATACTTAATTATTACTTTTTATCTCTTTTTATATTTTAACTAGAAACACAACAATTACAATATGGTAAGAAAAAACCTTTTGGTTTATTGAATGTAAATCTTTTTTTTAAAAGTTCTTAATAATTTGCTTTTTCTTTTTCTTTACTATAGTATTTTTTTTTAGTTCTGTATTAATTTTTTTAGGACAACAATAACAACCACAATCAGGTAAAAAAAACTCAATTTTTTGTTTAATGTTTTTTTAATAACAGTTAGTTTTCTAATTACTTAAAATTTACTATATTAAAATTTTTATAGACATAAAATGTATTAGTATAAGTAATATTTTTTTTGTACTTTCAACAAATGTTTTGTAAATTTTGATTTTTAAATTTTTTTAAAATTTATTACTGATTAAGTTTATAATTTAATTCAATTATTTTTGATTGTGTCAGAATCAATAGCTCATGTTATTTTAGTGCAATCTATGGAAGAAATGTGTAAGATTTTAGATTGTATTAATTATTAAACTTTTTATTTGTTACTGTAATACTCATGTTTTATTTAATTTTTTAAAATATCACTTTACATAGAAAATGTTAATAAAACTGTTTTTTCTTTTTAGTTAATAATTTTTTAAGGAAGATGAAGAAGCAATCCTGTATGAAACTACCTTTTACTTTAGAAATTTATAACTTGGTTCTTTCCAAAAAATAATTGATTATATGCATACATATGGTGGTGGTATACACATCACCATATTACGTAAACATATTGTTTTATTTAAACATATAAAAGAATTTAGCTTCTTTTTTTATTGTAAAGTTTCTTATGTATTATGAAATCATAGATCAATCATTTTTTGATTATATATAGCCCGAACACCATTTTTTTCTTTTTGTTAGGGGAGAAGGAGAAGAAATGGGAGGGGGTGGGAGGGGTGTTACGTATAATTATAATTATAAATAATTATACAAATAAATTAATTAAAATTTTACAATAAGCACTGTTGTTTTTCTTTACCCTTTCTAAGATAAATTTTGCCAATGTTGAAAATGATTTTAAACAATAAAAGCGTTTATGACTTTTTTATTTAACATATGGGTGCCTTACAGTAAAAAGTACCAATCTTCGGAGTTACTGATACAGTTGCATAGAGTCAGGAATAAGTAACAAAATAAAACAAAAAATTAGCTTGATAGCATCATTTTTAAAAGTTCTTCAGTTTTTCATGGAAGTGTTTTAATAATGAAATTACAGTAAAAAGACTTTAAAATTTGACAATTTAAAACTGTGTAAATTAACATAGTAATAAAGTTAATGTATATTTTCATTATTTATTTAAAAAAAACTATTAGTAAATATTAAAACTGCTTGAAAAAAGATAAAAAAGGTAGTTGCAACACGTATACCTCCGAATCTAATATAATAATCTAAGTTTTTAAAAGAATTTTACCAATATCTTTATACTAGACAGTTAACTGTTCTATAACTATATATATATATATATATATATATGTATATATATATATATATATATATATATATATATATATATATATATATATATATATATATATATATATATATATATATATATATATATATATATATATATATATATATATATATATATATATATATATATATATATATATATATATATATATATATATATATATATATATATATATATATATATATTGTAAAAACATGTATGATTCATGGACCATGCGGAATTTTAAATCCCAATTCACCGTGCATGAAAGATGGGGTGTTTGCACAAAAGGTTTTCCTAAAGATTTTAATATTTATACTGTTGCAAATTTCAATGGCTATCCACACTATAGGCGTTTAGATAACGGTAGAGTAGTTGTTATAAAAGGTAATCAAGTTGATAATCGATGGGTTGTACCCTATAACCCCTGGTTATCGAAAACATATCATGTCCATTAAGTCAGTTAAGTATTTATACAAGTATATCTATAAAGGGCATGATTGTGCTAATATGGTAGTTAATGAAAGTGTTCACAATGATGAAATTAACACATACTTAGACTGTCGCTTTCTTTTTGCACCAGAGGCTCTTTGGTGAATATATGAGTATTTCATAAGGGATATGTCACATACCATTATTCGCCTTCAAGTGCACCTTCCTGATAATCAGATAGTATATTTTAACGAGGGAGAAGAACAAGTAGCTATTAATTGTGCAGCACAGTGTGACACTTACATAACCGCTTGGTTTACATTAAATGCTGAAAATTTTGAAGCACGTTGCTATTATTATATTGAAATTCCATATCACTTTGTGTTTGGTGGTAAAAATTGCAAGTGGAAAGTAAGAAAAAGAGGTAGTGATATGGTGATAGTGCGAATGTATAAAGTCAATCTAACCAGTGAAGTATTTTTTCTTAGATTGTTGCTTTTGCATGTAAAAGGTGCATTATCTTACGAGAATTTGCGCACTGTGAATGGTACTTTTTTTTAATACATTTCGTGAAGCGTGTTATCAGTTAGGTCTGTTGCAAGATGACATTGAATGGAGAAATACATTAACTGAGGCTGTTGCAACTGAATTGCCTAAACAAATTAGGCAACTGTTTTCCATCGTAATAACATTATGTCAACCTGATAATCCTTTACACCTATGGAATACCTTTAAAGATTATATGGTGGAGGATTACATACACCGTTCAATGCCAGTCCTAGTTGCTGAATAAGTAGCACTTTGTCAAATCGAATCTATAATTAATCAGAGTGGTAAAACTTTAGTTGATTATAATTTTAGCTGATTATAATCAGTTTTTAGATTCTATCCCAGAAAATGACGATGAAGATGTACAGGTATTTATTGATGAAGCAAATCGAGTTAGACCATTATTAAATGATAATCAGCGTAATGTAGCTGATGCAATCCTTGCTGCACTCAATGAAGAACCTAATAATGAAAATAAGCATTCAAGATTGTTTTTTATGGATGGGCCTGCTGGTTGTGATAAAACATTTACTTACAATTATTTAATCACTGAAACACGCATCAGACATACTAGAACTGCAACAGCTGCACGGACAGGAATAGCTGCAACTCTTCTTAAAAATGGATGCACACTGCATGGCTTATTCAAACTTTCTGTGCCAATTTTGGAAAATAACACATGTAATGTAACTCCAAATTCTATTCATGGTGAATTCCTGAGACAAGTAAGTTTGTTTTTACTTGATGAAGCATCTATGATTCCTAAACATGCTTTAAGTGCCATTGATAAGCTATTACAAGATATTTGTAATAATAACTTTTCTTTTGGTGGTAAAGTTATTCTTATGGGTGGAGACTTTAGACAAATACTTCCAGTTGTGAAAAGAGGTCGACCAGCTGAAGTTGTAGAATCATGTTTAAAATGTTCTGAACATTGGCAGTATGTGCAAAGGTTTTCATTAACTGAAAATATGAGGGTTCAGATAGGAGAAGAGGAATTTTGTCAATGGCTTTTAAAGCTTGGAAGTGGAACTTTACCTGTCAAGTCTGAAGATCCTTTGCGAGGGTGTATTGAAATACCTGAGCAGTGCTTTGAAAACGATAACGAATCTATTGTGGAAAAGATTTTTGGTGGCGCAGAGGAAGCTGATTATGCTAACCGTGCTATTTTAACACCAACAAATGTTGATTCATTGGCAATAAATAAAAAAGTCCTTGATCGTTTACCTGGTGATACTAAAATTTACTTAAGTTCAGATAGCATTGAAACTGATAATTATAATGAAATTTATAATTTTCCAGTCGAGTCTTTAAATAGTTTGACTCCATCAGGTATGCCTGTTCATTGCCTAAAATTAAAAATTGGTGCTGTTGTAATGCTACTTATAAATTTAGATCTTAAAGGCGGACTTTGTAATGGAACACATTTGATGGTACGTGCACTGCACAACAATTATATTGATGGACAGGTTCTAATAGGGATAGCAGCTGGTAACAGGAACTTTGTTCCTCGAGTTCAATTAGCTCCATTGGATTCAAATTTACCCTTTATACTCAAACGTCGTCAGTTTCCAGTTAGGTTAGCATACTCAATGACCATAAACAAAAGTCAAGGTCAAACTTTTGACAAAGTTGGAGTTTATCTTAAAAAGCCTTGCTTTTTACAAGGTCAATTATATGTTGCATGTTCAAGAACAAGATCGTTTAATAGTTTATTTTTTAAAGTTTATAAACATTCATTACAAGGTATGTCATTAAAAAAATTTTACACACAAAATGTTGTATTTACAAATGTACTTAATTAATAAATTATTACTTTTTTTTTTACTACTAGAGACAATACATTTTGACAAATAACAACACAGCCAATTTTATTTTTGACTTACTGTTTTTGTTGTTGCTAAGCCAGAAACCAGTCTTTGATACTGGTTAGAAAACCAGTCTTTGATACTGGTTAAAAAAACAGTCTTTGGTACTGCAATAAAAACCAGTCTTTGATACTGGTCAAAAAACCAGTCTTTGATACTGGGAAAAAAAACAGTTTTTGATACTGCATATTTTTACTGCAAAGCCCTTCTTTGTTACTTAAAAAAAAACAGTTGACAATTGAAAATTACATGACATGACAGTATTAAAGAGATGTGTTTCATATGTTAATAGAAAAGCACAAATATTTTTTTGACAGACTCCTTAGCTCAACTTCACGTTGGTGTCTATTGTTAAAAATGATTATTAGATAGTTTCATTGCTGAGACTAATTACTTTTAATCATTCACTAAGAGCTAAGAAAAATTAGTTTAGTAAATTTATTTTGCTTATATTTGATTTTAAATTTTAGTTTAATTGTTATAAAAATCAACTTTACTTTTGACTTCCAAATAAATATACGACCTTCTTCGAACCAAATATTATGTCAAAGTAAGTTATATCTTTTTTAGCATTTTTTTTACCATAATCTGTAATTACCTAAATTACATTTTTTTTTTGGATTACATTTCATCGTTGATTGTTAATAAATATTGTAATAATAACTACGTAGTTGTTTCTTTTAGACTGTCTATTTCGAATCAGTAAAGTGATTTTGCAACGAACCAAGTTGTGGAGTTGTGAAGTCTTTAACATTAAATCAAATATATATTCACAAAAAAAATTTTGTTGCTTATATTTGTTTATAAAAACATTTTTAAAAATTTAAAAACTTTTACATAAAACATTTGAAATTTTTAAGTTAAACAAATATAATTCTTTTTTCTCGATTTTACAATTCTGGCTTAATAGTAATATAGCTATAAAAAGCAACAACGATAACGATAGTTTTTATTTGTCCATTTCTTAACACCCTCTCCCCTTGATTTTTGCTTGCAAAATTTTGTCACTAATTTGTGCTAAAAACAAGTTTTTGTTACAAACAAGTAAAGAGTTTTTTTGCTTCGTAAGTTTGATATAGTTTAATAAATGGTTAAAATCCTCTTTTTACTGTAGTTTTTTTTAAAAAGGGTCCTGTAGGAATTTTAGTCCAAATCTAATATATGAAATGGAATGGGAATGTAAGTTGAATATAAAATTTCAACTATTACTCTTTACAAAGCACCATAACGCGATTTAGTTAAAACGTGGCTTAAAGTAAAATCAACATTTTGAAAAATCTGTTTTAATTTAAATATTTGAAATTTGAAATGTTAATATAAATTTTAGTGATGCTAAAATAAATTTTAGATTTAGTGAGAAATAAAGCCCATTTTCGACAAATCCAGATTTACTAGGTCGATGGCTTTTAAAACTGATTCTACGATGAAAGTTTCTGTTTTTATCACTTATTGAAATAAAAACAATTTTCTCAGTTTTAATTAAAATATTTTAGAATTTAAGGGAAATTGCCTATTTTCAATTGTTATTTTTAAGGAGACTTGATAAGTAAAGATTATTAAACGAGGGTTGGTGTGGCTTAGTAAGTTTGGATATTTTCTCAAAAAGTAATATTTTCTCAAAAAAAGCGTCTCCCCCCTATCCTTTAGGATTTTAGAGTCACCATTAAAATTTGACATAAGTTGCAAGAAGTGTCTCGCAAATGCCATTTATGTTAAAGTTAGTGTTTACGCAATCAATAAGTTTAATCTTCTAATCTAGGACATTAAAAGTTATCATTTAGATGTTTTCATATGATTAAGATTTTCTTGCGTTATAAACCGAATAATAGTTCTTATGAACTGTAAGCGCGCGGAAAAAGTGTGCATTAATATCTTAAAGACCCGTATTTTACGGGTCATGAGAGCTAGTTTTAAATAATGACGAACTTACCAATAGATTTTGAAAAACTACACTTTAATGTTTTCAAATCGGCAAATGTGTTACTTAACGACTTTTCTGACGCTGATTTGCATTTTTTTTACGAAAAGAATTTTAGCTCATCCTTCTTTGAAATGAAAACTTTTAAAAACGAACTAAAAACCTTAAAGAGTAATTTTACGGTAATACACATTAACATAAGAAGTATTAATAACAACATGGATAAGCTAAAATTTTTTCTTATTAAATGCGATTATCTATTCAGTATGATATGCATAACAGAAACTTGGTGTTCTGACGAATCATGCAGAATAAACTCAAGTTTAGAAATTCCTAAGTACAAGTTATTATCGTTTGAAAGAAAAACTAACAAAGGGGAGGTGGAATTATAACTTATATTAGGAATGATCAAATTACTAAAATAAGAGAAGACCTTTCGACCTCAGATGCCGATAGTGAGGTCTTTATAATTGAAATAACTAGCAACAAATCAAAAAAAATACTGGTTTCCACATGTTACCGACCGCCTGAAACAAATTTTTATAAAAAACAACAATGAGCAAAAAAAAATATTCTATATTGGTGATATAAACATAGATTGTTTACAATATGAAAAAAATGCCAATATTAAACTTTTTTTTGACGAAATGCTTCAAAATTACATTTTCCCAATTATTAATAAACCAACCCGAGTAACTCCAACTTCAGTCTTTGCAATAGACAATATATTAACTAATTCAATCTTTGATACTTCTCTAAAGGCAGGGATAATAAAGACAGACATTTCTGATCATTTTCCTGTTTTCTTCTCCTTGACACAGGATATAAAATCTATAAATAGTTGTAAAATAAAAATTTATAAAAGGAAAATCAACAAATTTGCTATTCAACAATTTAAAGACACACTATCGGCAGAACAATGGGACAAGGTATACCAAGAATGCAACCTTGGAAACACAAACTCTGCTTATAATTACTTTGAAAAAATTTTTCTAAAAAATATAATATGCATTTCCCAATTAGAGAAAAATTTATAAAAGAAAAAATATTTAAAATGTCCTTGGATCACCAAAGGTATTAATAAATCTTCCAAAAAAAAAAAAAAAATTATATCAAATACTTAAAAAATAGAAGTGAGGCAAACCTAAATGTTTACAAACAGTATAAAAACTTGTTTGAAAAAATAAAAAAAATTCGAAGAAAAACTATTACTCAAATAAAATAAAAAACTCAAATGGTAATATTAAAAAAACTTGGGATATCATAAAAGAAATAATTGGGACTAAACACTGCAAACCAAATAGTTTACTTGCACAAATTGTCATAGATAATAATGATTATGACGATTATAATGTAATTTCAGAAAAATTTAACAGTTTTTTTGTAACATAGGCCCAAATCTAGTTTCAAAATCCACTGTCCAAACAACTCCTTTGAAACTTACTTAACTAGTGTCAACAGCGAACTAATATTTAAAGAACTAAAAGTTGATGAACTCGAAAATGCAATAAACTTTATTAAAATAAACAAGTCTCCAGGTGTAGATGACATTAGCAGTAATATTGTTGCTAATGTTTCTTCGCAGATACGCAAACCTATTTTTGAAATATTTATATAATAAAAATTCAAATCATCAATTAAAACTGGAACTGTACCAGATAAATTAAAAGTAGCTAAAATTATACCTATTTTTAAAACGGGTGAAACATATCATATAAATAATTACAGACCAATTTCAATTCTTCCAATTTTTTTAAAAATACTTGAACGAATAATCTACAATAGATTATATGAATACCTAATTCAAAACAAACTCTTAGATAAAAAACAATTCGGTTTTCAATCACAACACTCGACACAACATGCAATTTTAGATATAGTTAATAGCATAAGTGATTCTTTTAATAAAAAGCAATTTGTATGAGGAACATTTACAGACCTATCCACAGCATTTGGCACAATTAGTTATCATATCCTACTTAAAAAAATTAAAAAATACGGAATAAAAAACCCTGAATTGGTTTAAAAGTTATTTATGCAGCAGACAACAATGCGTTATTTCGAACGATAATAAATACTCAAATTTACTAGAAATTAAATGCGGAGTTCCCCAAGGTTCCATTTTTGGCCCTCTTTTATTTTTAATTTATATTAACGATCTTCCAAAATCCCTAAAAAAACTTGATGCAGTAATGTTTGCTGATGACATAAATTTGTTTTATTCATCAGCATCAATTGAAAATCTCTTTGAATCTGTGAACGATGACCTTGAGAATCTAAACACCTGGTTTAAAGTAAATAAATTATCTTTAAATACAGAAAAAACAAAATACATCTTTTTTCATTGCAACCATCAAAAAAATAATATACCAAAAATGCTACCATTACTGATAACATAAATATCAAAAGAACTAAAACCTTTAAATTTTTTGGAATAATTATTGACGAAACGATTTCTTGGAAAGCCCATATAAATACAATAAATACAAAAATATCAAAAAGTATCGGCATACTCTACAAAGTCAAACCTTTACTTTCCCAGAAAAATCTTAAAAGTCTTTACTTTTCTTATATACAAAGTTATTTAACATATGCTAATATTGCCTGGTGAAGTACAAATAAATCTAAACTAAATTCTCTATATGTACACCAGAAACACGCATCAAGATTGATTTATAATAAAAATAAATTCACTCATGCCGATCCTTTACTTAAAAACTTGAATGCGTTAAATGTCTATCAAATTAACATCTACAAAAATATTTTATTTATGCTCAAATATATGCTCCGGTTTGTCCCATCTCATTTTACTAATAACTTTTTTCAAACCTACGCCAACAGATATAGCACAAGAGGAACAGGAAATTTCACCCTGCCCATTAAAAAAACAAAATTTTCAAGATTTTCAATTGCATACCGTGGCCCCTACTTATACAACAAAATAATATCTCAAAATATAGAACTTACTAATTAGATAATCTTACTATCCTTAAAAAAAAATTAAAAGATCTCATAATTAACAAAACCAATTTTATCGATATGTATTAAATGTAAAAGAAAATGAATATAATATTGTTACAAGAAAATTTTAAATTTTAAAATAAATAAATAAAAAATAATAATAATAATAAATATAATAGCAGCTATACATAGTAAAATATTACTGAACAGTGGACCTCAAAAGTTAATGTGTGTTTTGTGAAATTACTCTTTAAAATTTTTGTTCATTTTGCATTTTAAAGGTTCTCGATGAAAAGACTTCTCTTAGTTTTCTGCAAGTTTCCTTACAACAACATAGTGTTATTATGATATATTAATATATTTTTTCAACAATAACCACAAGCAAGTCCCTAGTAGCCCTGTGGTGCAACGGACTTGCGTATATTTTTTAAATGCATGGGTTAATAGCCAGCACTTTATATTATAAACCACGATTTTTTACTTTTTATTTTTATTTTTTTTGTTGTTCTCTTAACTTTCCTAACCCACTGTAATACGCCAAGCGTGAAACAGCATTGTTAACGCTCTTTAGATATTGCAAATATGTGTGGTGCAAATATTTGTTTTTTGAAATATAAAATAATTGTTGTAAAAAGAAAAAAAAAAAAAAAAAAGCTCTGAAAGGTCTCATACAATATATAAGTCTTGCCTATAAAATTGCATAATACTAAAGTCCTTCTACTATGATCAAACATTAGTGTTAGGCTTACTTATCCAGCCTCAGGGGACGTTTAAAAAACTAATACAATATATAGATGAAAATAGTAGCCGATACTTTTTTTATTTCAACTGGCTCATAGGCCACTTTTGTTGGAATTTTAAGCCAAGGTAGAATAAAAACAATCTCATCAAGTTGTTCCCCACTGAGGACTTTTATCATAATATTTGGCTTTATTAACGACCCAAGCAGCACTAAAACAGAACTATAAATATATAATCCAATAACTGTTGTTTCAGATCCTTTTGGTCGACCACGCCTGGGTATATGTGATAGCATCTTAATTAGGTTGGGATTTGGCAGGAAAAAAAATGAATTAAAAAAAATAAACAATTACAAATTTTAATAATGTGATTAGGAAAAACTCTCACCCAGTATAGACTCATCAAGTGATATTGAGTTAGCTGCAGTGTTGTTATTCAACAACGGAGTTTGTAAATGTAAATGAGGAAGCACATTCATTTTTGACTTAATGGCTGCTAGGCTAATTTTTATGGTTTGACTCACAGATGGTGATTGTGCATGAGGCTGAACCAAAAAATTGGAGACTAACTCCTCGCTAGAAACTATGGGATTTTGAAAGTCATTAGTCATTAGTCACCAATATCTAACACCATATTTACTTCTTTATCTGGAAATACCTTTAAAGAATTTTCAAATTCTAACAATTTTGCTAGCAAAATATCACTTTGCTTTCCCTGCACTTTACCAGCCAATGCAGCGATTCTCTGAGATATCAAGAAGGCTTTTCTATATTTTTCCTGTTGTGACAGAGGCTTTCTATCTTGCTAAATTGATGAAACACTAATAAATATTGACTGCAAATACTCAGTGTACTCGATTAAACTCTGGGTCATTTAAAAAAAATCTAATCTCCACCTTTTTAAAACAAAGCACTCTTCAAATAAGTTTTCACCACCATTCAATCGGAATCTAAAATTGTGTTTGCATGGCAGACCCATTAAGGTAGCGAAATCACAGTTGCATGAAATAATTGTAGTTTCCTACTAAAATAAATCAGACGTCTCTGAAGCTATTAACTGTGCATTAATGTGAATCATGGCGAAAGGTGTTACTAAAACGGCATACTTTTCCTGTGTACTGGACGTCAAACTAGTGGATGATTCATGAAAAACACGTATGGCTCTATGTCTTCGCTCATTTTCTAATACTCTTATGATAACAATCAAATCCAAAAAAATGTAACCATCCCAGTGTTTAGGTATGACACTTTTTAACTTGGTTTACATTTTCAATGCGGTTTGTTGTGCTGTTCATCAGGTTTAACTTTTTCTTTTTTAAACCTTTAACCCACTGCATTCTTATTTGATGCCAATTTACATAAAAATAGTTTATGACGGACTCCAATTTAAGAGCCTCAAGGTCATCATAACGCATATTATAGGCAACCTCATTATTAGAGTAAACTAAACTTTGAAGAATTTCTAAGACAAAAAGCCTCTGCTCTGCTTTTATACCCATTTTTTCAACAGTTATTTCCCTGCGAAATGTGCATACGGTGTAAAAAAGACATAATTGAAGAGAGGCATTTGGAACTTTGTCACTAATCACATCTTTGTCTGTCACAACAACTTAAATGTCACTGGTATTGCTATGTTTTTTAAATATGTTTGTTAATTCTTCTATGGTTTCTCTCTCCTCATTAGCAACAATCTAGAGTAGAGCAATTAATCCTTCATCATTTCCATCGACACACATTAAAACATAAAGTGGCATACGCAAGTTGCTAAGCTTGTATGTTGCATCAAGAAGAAGCAGTTCAGGATAATATGCAAAAAACTTCATAATTTTTTTTTCCTGATAATACAATGTATTAAGTTGACTGTCATTATTAACAACAACCTCTGTCACAGAATTCTTCTGTTTTATTTCACTTAAAAGAGTTGTTCAATTGTTATCATCCTGATTTTTAAAAACATGATTTACATTTTGAATATCCTTAAGTGTAATAACTTTCCTAGTAGACTTTATCATATGTTGCTGTATTAACTTTTTGTTAACTTTTACAGCAAGCATATGAATCATTTCATTTTTTCCATCTACATCCAATTGACGCTGATGTGGGAGATGCATAAATGATTCCTGCAACAAATTTATTTAAAGTTATTCTGTAATTATATAATCACTATTTTATAAATATATTAAAAGAAAATTACCTCTACGATACAAAGAGAGTGTTCTTCAATCAGTTTCTTTCCATCATCACTCAGTTAAAAGTTAATGCATGCTTTTTAATTTTATCGGAATGTTCTGGAAAATTAAATAGTTTTTTTTGTTCGTTTTATTTTTATCTAAAAATGTACCAAATTCAAGGTTTTGCCTACGCCGAAGCTATAGTTACCCATAGTAACAAGACTGTATACACAGATAATATATATAAGACACATATTCTATATAACAAACCATTATATATATATATATATATATATATATATATATATATATATATATATATATATATATATATATATATATATATATATATATATATATATATATATATATATATGTATGTATATATATATATATATATATATATATATATAATATATATATATATATATAATGGTTTCTTATATATATATATATATATATATATATATATATATATATATATATATATATATACTTTATATATATATAAAATATATATGTATGTATATATATATTTCTTTGGGATTCTAATATATATATATATTAGAATCCCAAAGAAATATTATAGGCTCTTAGGCTGTAAATAAGTTTTTTGGTCAGACCTTTCTTTATTTAAATAAAAATAGTGGCAAAAATAAAGTAAATTCAGGAAGCAGTCTTAAAATCATGTCATCATCAATTATTGTTTATATATATATATATATATATATATATATATATATATA